CACACACACACACACAAACACCGGAAGTGGGCAGGCACAACAAAGGCTGGCTGCTGTACAAGAAGTTAAACTTCTAAACAAGCAAAAAATCTTTAACTTCCCTAAATGAGAACCAGGGGTGTGGTGTGTTTCAAAAAGGGGAAACAGGGAAGTGTGTGCGTGCGCTGGACTATGTGATTTAGTAAGAGGGTCAAACCAAACAGATGTGAACTGGCACATTTTTTTATTTAAAGTAACTCACAGCCCAGTACAATTTTCTACTCTTTTAAAACTTTTTTGACAAGGTCTGATTTTTGTTGATTTGGGTATCTTATTGTCGCTATAATTACATTTTTCTCATCAAGAATTTTGTTCAGAGATTTGGGAACTGACTCTGCTAGACAGCTGTTATAACTAAGTTCATTAGACCAAACAACATTTGGAAGTACAAACAAAAGTGAACAAAATGTTACGAAAACTTTTTTATGTTAAGAAAATTGTGCTGCACTACAATCTGGTTCAGCTTTGACCTACTGTGCCAAACCTAGTCTAGCACAGGCTTTACATCTTTGTTTTAACTTCCAGTAATTGGTTCAGATAATAGAGTTAAAATGGGGGTTAACATGTCTGATATTAATTATAAATCAATGAAAATGGTGAGTAAAATGTTAACATATAAAACAGATTTCCTTCTTTGGGAAATTGAATGAGCATACATTTAGAGCAGTATTTATGACTTCCTAATTTTAAAAGTTGGGTGACAACAATTAATGCCCATATTATTATATATAAGTCCTCAAAGGGCTATCTTACTTAATCTCAAATGAAGTTTCAATATACATAAATCTTTTCATGTTTTTAGTGATGGAAAACTTAACTGATGAGAAAAAACAAATGGATTCTCTCCGTCAGGTGAAAAAAAAGGCCGTCACACACTGTCCCAGAGCTCAAGAAAAAAGCAAAGAGAAAGAGAAGAGCTACATTCCTCTCCTCCTCCCTGTTGACTCTAATCTCTCCTTTAAAATGGCTCACACAAAGAACTAGCACAGACTAGCTAATTAGCAACACTTTAGGCCTCTGCAGCTATTGTGTGCGTGGCGTGTACGTGTGTGTTCATTGTGTGAACCCCGGGCTCTCGACTGTTTCCAGGGTAACTACTCGCCTAGCAGCCCTGTAAGCATTGCATTTTGTCTTTACTCTTCATTTTCTCTCGTTCCCCTCTCTGTGTCCATCTCTTTCTGTGAGTCTGGAGAGGGGGAATGAAGGAGTAAGGACTCTAAGAAAAGAAAGGACCAAGATAGGAGGATTTTCTGACCTGTGTGGGTGGGGGTTGTAAACTAATGTGCTCTTTTTTGAGTCCC